ACTTCACCAGAGTAAAGAAGCATTGTTAAATATCTTTTTGAGGAAGGCCTGGTACTTGCTATGTAGACCTTGAACTCAAGAGACCTACCGGCCTCTAGGAATTAAAACACTGCTGGTAAAGCTTTAAAACTGTAGTCTCAGCACTTACAAGGCTGTGGCAGAAGGCCAGCTGGTTCCAAGTAGCTAGAATGTTTAAAAGACGTGACTTCAAAACCTCAGAACACAGGAGAAACAAAAATGAGATATGGTAATTAACTGCTTACGTTGTCAGAGTACTTGTAAGCTCTCCTTTAGACCAGTGCCATACAATCAAAATGCTTTGTCAATCTAGCCCAGCTTTTGTAAAGTGTTAAGTCATACAGCACCAGGCAGTGCATGTGGATGATAGAGGCCAGCCTGGTCTGAGCAAGTTCCAGGAGAGCCAGGGCTACACAAAGCAACCTTGGGGGAGGGAAGGGAGCCTAGTCATATGCAACAAATGTAAAAAATAACTTATGAACATGAACTAGAAGGGCTGCAGGAAGTGATCAGATTTGCACCACTCATCTTGGTGAGATGGAATCCAGAGAGACCCATCCCTGCTGACACTAGCCATTCTTACCAGTAGTAGTCTACCAACACACAAGCAATCCACAGTAGAACACTGCAGACAGCAGGGCATTTGGAGCCTACTCAGCCCCAAGTTCCCAGAACAGGAACTGAGACTGGGAAGAAGGTCAGTGCAGCGTACTCAGCGAATGGATAAACATAATCATCATTTCACAAGGCTGCAAGCCCAGGTGCTAGTCAGAATATTATGGCAAATTGCTACCTTAGGTCACATCAAGAGATCTTAGCTATCTGGACAATTATCAAATAATTGCAAAAGATTCCCCTTCCCTCCTTTTAGATCCCTAAAAGAAGGATCTTCAATGGCTTACTAGAAAATAAGTGCTGGAGCCAGCAAGAAGGCACCTGTGGCCAACCTGAACATATAGGTCCCTAAGATGGGGTTTGTGTGTGTGTGTGTGTGTACAAACTCCCAAGTGTCCTGACTTCCACATATGTCCACACAAACTAAAAAAATTAAAAAACCGGAGGGTATGCGTTGGCAGTGAAGTCACTATTGGAAAGTTAGATCATACAGAAAAATTTCTAAATTATGTATTACTGAAGTAAGTTTAACACAAGGTATCTGCCCTGTAGTTAGTTCTCTTCTGATTACAAAAAATTGATATCCCAGCACTCTGAAAACAGGCAGGCAGATCTGAGTCTGAAGTCAGCCTAGTCTCAAAGCAGTTTCAGGACAGCCATGGCTGTTATACAGCCCTGGAGAAACCCTCTTTCAAAAAAACAAAATTAAGGTACCAACAAGATTGTAATCACACTACATTTTTGAACACTTGACTAACTTAAGACATTCTTCTCATTCAACTGCTCAAACAGGTTTGTAACACAACATAATGTCCAAACAGAATAATTTTTTTAAAAGTATGTGTGCGTGCTACTAGTCTACGAGGCAGCCTGTGCTGACCTATATCCTGATCATGCAGGTTAAACTTTCTGAAACGTGTGTTAGGATTGCGGGTACTGTCTTTCAGGGACAAAGTTTTGTGAGCGCAGTAGCAAGGGAACCTCGGCACTGGCAACACAGCTGTACTACTGTAATGGTGAATTAAATGCAAACTTGAAGAAGCTCCCCCTTTATTTATCACCTTTGATAAAGTTCCTGATAACATCTGGAAAAGACTTCAAGTTTTCACCAATTCAAGTTGAATGTAGCATGCTATTTCCTTTCACAATCCATCAACCACAGATCTAAACCTTTGCAAACTTCACCCCACCCATGACACCATTTTAGAAAGCTGATTGAACCTCATGATTTTCAACTAAGGGTAAATCTGCTCAGTGCCAAAGAACATCTGATAAGAGAGGTGGCCACTGTCATCTCCAGTGAAACGGTCAGCTATGTGTACTATAAAAAAGAAAGCAGGAGTAAAATTAAGGTTCTAGATCAGATGCCAGTCACTTACAAAATCTCGTCAAATAAGCACTTAGATCATACCTAAGCCAAACCCAGAAAACCACCTAAAAGCTGGCAGGCCACTTTATACAGCCAAAACTTGAATGCATCATAACCGGTTGAAGTACCAAATGGAACACTAAGATACCATGTACAAGTTGCTGATCCAGAACTAAGGCGTAGGCAGCTTTGAGAAGACACACTTCCTTAGTCCTATGACTGCAAAGCAAAACTTCACCGCACAAAACTGATAAATTTAGACTAGTTACAGTACTGATCAAAGTTCAAGGCTGTCTATGCTAACCACCACAGTTAACACAAGTGTCTATAGACAAACAGCAGCAGAAGGTCGGAGCACAGGTGTCCTTTCATTAAGTCCACATAACCAATCCTCTAAGACAAAGTTTCAGTCAAATTATAGGCACTAAGGATTGGATTAAGACAGACAAGTTACACTAGCACATTCCTAGCCCTCTAACAAGGAGAAAGTTTTCTTGTTCTTGAGACAGTCTCACTATAACCCAACTATCTACCAGGCTGGTCTCCAGAGATCCTCTGGCCTCTGCCTCCTAAACGCTGGAATTAAAGGGATATGCCCTTTCAGGGTTGGTTTTTTTTTTTTGAGATGTGTCACTAGCTAGTCCAGGCTGGCCATGAAGAGAGCCTTCTACCCCAGTAGGCTGGAATTTCAAAGAAGGAACACCACTTCCTCTAGTCAAAAAAATCTCAAGCTTTTCAAAATCGAATAACTATCCAGGGACAAACAGAACACCCCAACACAAACAATGCTGTTGCACCTATCCACCCTAAATTAGATGGACCTCACCAAGACAATGAATCTGGTATGATGTCAAGTACGACTTTCAGTAATTGGAAGCCTGACAAAAAAGGTTCACGGCACTTAGGCATAGATGCTGAGTCCCAGTGTTCATTTCCCACCACCATCCCCGCAATTCTAATTATTAGTTTAACTTCAGTCATTAAATCAACTTCAAGAATTACACCTTCATGGAAATGACAAACTAAATTAGAGCATTTAAATAAAATTGTAAAATATATTAGTTAACAAATTTGCCCAACTTGGACTCCAGTACCATTTTGACACTTGTCAAATTTCCTTCAGGTAAATTCTACCATTCAGACCAGATCCGCCAGCCTAGTACAGATCAGATAACAAAAACGAAACCACGTGCTATATAAGCAGTAATTTCCCTCTATTTCTCTAACTCAAACGGGAAAGCAAAAGCTATGCCAATTTTCTCCACTGTAGGTATGTATCTGCACGCATTAAACCCTTAATCTTCTCCAATTTTGCTGGATCAGGGTGACAGCGAACTCATTTTTAAAACCTATTAGTAATGCGAACAAGTCTTCTTACATAGCTCATTCTACTCCAAGTTACAAGGACACAGGCATCAGAAAACGAGAAAAAAAATGCCATCAAAATCCCACCTATTACCTATTATAAAGGCTAGGGGAGAGAAAAGTTGCTAATTATTCCAGAGTAAAGCAAATAAAACATCACGTACAAAGTTCTATTTCAATACAGTCCCTTGTTCCAACAGCACCGTTGTTGGAACAATCCAACTAGTGTTCCGGACAGGTATTTATTTACTATATGCAAGTATAGTCCATTCAAAAGCTTTTTACAAATCTAATACAGGTATTCTTAAAATGTTAAGAGCTCCTAATAGTTCTTTAGGTTCCTTTTAAACTCATGTGCTGGAAAAGCTATACTGACGACTCTGCACACAAAATTGTGACTCATAACCTACTTGTGCAGAATTCAAATTTAAAGGACCAATAAAAGTGGGATCTTTAATTGTCTACATAGTAACCCCCGTTTATTTGCACCAGACCTCAAGATATTTGCAGCCCGGGGCTCAGATTAACACACAAGATTTACTAAAAATTACAACTCCCACAAGGACACAAATAGCTTTTTTTTTAAGTTGCAAGAAACACGCTACAAATTCTTGATGGAATTTTCCCACTTGCTTAAACGAAAGGCCGTTTTCTTAAAAGGGAGAGGGAATCGCCAGCGAACCTCCGATTCGCTTTCCAATTACCAAGGAGTTGAGTTTCAGGAATCTTGAAACAGACTAAGGTAAGGTCTCCAGGTTATCAGCCGCACTCAAACGACTGGCAGAGCGTCTGTCGGCTCCGCACCACGAACTCAAGAATCGGGGTCCCACCTGGCCAGAGAATGAGGGTGCACTAAGACCCCCACATGAAAACATTTACAAAAGGAAATAGGGGTAGAGGGGAGCTCCGAGTCTTGAAGCGCTTCCCTTGCGAGGACCGCCCGAACCCCCAAGAAGGAACAGGCAGCCCAGGAAGGCCGGCGGGAGCTCCGGCCCTAGGGAGGTAGCGAAGCAGCAAGGACCTCACCTTGCTGCGGTCCTCATCCTGCTGCTCCAGCAACTCGGGAACCGCGGCCATGGCGACGCGGGCCTCGAGCAGGGGCTGTCTGGCTGTGCGAGGAAAGAAGAGGCTGGGCCGCCGCCGGGGCGCCTTTCAGGGGCGGCCGCGGCCCCGCCTCCGCCGGCCTCCTTGCCGGACGGCGGCTGGAGGC